AAACTTGAAACTTTGAAAGCCCCAATATTAAAATGGGTGAGTCTTCATGCCTGGATGGAAAAGCCAAAAATAAGTGAGAGACCACTTCAGGATGTTATTACAGTTTACACTGATGCTGGAAGACGCTAGCGATGTGCGGCAGCCACATGGAACGAGAATCGACAATGGAAACATCGATTATTGGAGGCACAGCCAGAAGACTCTCTGCAGACATTGGAACTAGCTGCAGTAGTCTGGGCTTGCAGTCAATGGATTGATAAGAAACTGAATATTGTTACAGACTCTCTGTATGTTGCAGGCATTGTAGGTCGTATAGAGGGAGCAAGGATACGAGACATAGATAACAGAAGGCTCTTTGATTTATTACAGCAATTACAATCTGCAATTGTGCAGCGGGCAGAACCATACTGTGTAATCCATATTAGGAGTCACAAATGGACTGATGGGCTAGGGGAAGGTAATGACTGGGCTGATTGTCTTGCCTCTGTAGCAGCCCCTGTTAGTGACTTTGTCAAGGCAAGAGAATCACATGCTATGTTTCACCAGAATGCTCGAGGGCTACACCAACAATTTAACATCACTATGGAGGAAGCTCATGGCATTGTTCGCACATGTGCCACATGTAGCTATCATGGCCCAGGACTTGGAATTGGTGTAAATCCACGAGGCTTAGGTACCTGTGAATTATGGCAGATAGACGTGACACATGTTAATGAATTTGGACTATTAAAGTATGTGCATGTTACTATAGATACTTTTAGCAAATATATATGGGCAACTCCCCAAACAGGAGAGAAAGCACTGCATGTAATACGTCACCTTACTAGTTGCTTTGCTGTTATGGGAGTCCCCACCACGCTTAAAACTGATAATGGGCCTGCATATTGCAGTAAAAGGGTTAGAAAATTTTGTCAGATGTGGGGAATAAAGCGTATAACAGGAATACCACACTTGCCAACCAGTCAAGCTATTGTAGAACGAGCAAATCAAATGCTGAAACAGTATTTACAAAAGTTTAAGGATATTACTGATGTTGCAGAAAGGCTGTTTTTGTTTTAAATCACCTGTGTGTTTTTTCTGATCAAGGGCTACCTCCTACAATGACTCATGGAAGAACAGTGGGAAAACAAGAGAGGGAGCCTATGTATGTAATGTATAGAGAACTAGAAACAGGAATGTGGAAGCGTCCAGCAGAAGTTAAATATGTGGGCAGAGGTTATATGTGTATCATTACTCCTACAGGTATTCAATGGATTCCCAGCCGATGGACGAGACCGGTTCAGAAAGCTGCTAATGTTCCTGGCAATGATACCAATAGTACAAACTGTCCCAATGATGTTGCCGAAAACGAATGTTTGGATCACTTGGGCGAATAAGACAAGACAAAAAGACTTCTGTCTATCTCTGGCTTCTCCTGCTGACCCCTTTAGGACCTGTCTCTTCGGGGTACCCATTGGCAATCCAAAGATAATCTGTCAAACATTCAATGTTTTTGCTTGTAAATTTAACAGCACTTCTCAGGCTGCTGCTGCAATTATTAATAATCTGACCACTTCCTTGTCATGGGACCCTCAGGAGCTGGACCTACTGGGATCTGTAGCAATTGGAAACAGCTCAGAAAAATTGGACTCAGACATGTTTTATGTTGGGTAATTTTAAACAGGGCGTTCATAATCACAAGCAGTATAATTTGTCAGGCTGGACCAATGTAACTTCTCATACCAAGGGATTTGATTACCAGAAAAAGGGAGATTATTGTGGAACTAATAGTACTTTGGGTGGTGGTTTAGGAGCATTAGGATCAGAAGTTAAAGGAGGATTGTCAATATGGAACAATGGAACTCCTAAAGCTTTTCCTGATGGAGTGTTTTTGATTTGTGGGGATCGAGCATGGAGAGGTATACCTCGACGAGCATTTGGTGGTCCTTGTTATATAGGTCACCTGACTCTCATGGCCCCAGCATTACATCAGTGGGAAAAGCATATAAATTTGCGTAATAAGTGCAGTCTTTCAGCCCTTACTGAGAATTGTGATGATTCAGTTGAACTATGGGGAGTGACCGCCAGCGTTTTTGCCTCTATAATCCCCTCAATAGTTACTGCCCAGGCACTGGCTAGTGTTAAGAAGCTGGCTTGCTGGGCAGTGAAACAGTCTAATGTCACCACAAGAGTTATTCAAGAAATGGCTAGCGATGTGGACAGTCTGAGGCATGTTGTGTTACAAAATCGAGATGCCATAGACTTTCTTTTGCTTGCCCAGGGACATGGATGTCGGGATTTTGATGGAATGTGTTGCTTTAATCTATCTGACCATAGCCAGTCGATTCAAAGTCAATTATAATGGATGAAGCAGCACTTACAAAAAGTACAGGTAATTAAAAATCCCTGGGACCAATGCTTACACTCTGTGTTTGGACTGTCCTCCTGGCTACAAAGTATCTTACAAGAGGGTTTGTGGTGGTTGGGAATAATAATATTAGTCATAGTAACCATTAGGATAGCTTGTAGTTGCATGATGAAAAATGTTAGTAAGGTTATGCTTGTGCAAGCTGCACAAAAAGAAAAAGAGGGAATTGTTGGAGAATGGCTTGCAGAGCAAGGACATGGGTCTGTGCAGGAGCTGGTCGCAGCCATCTGAGGTAAACAAAGGAAAAAACCCAGGGTACAGTTATGCTAACAAGGAAAGAGATTCAGGGCTCAGTTATGCTAACAAGGACTGTTATGATAACAAAGAGAGAAATTGAGGTACATAATGGCCCTGAGTGTGATGGAAAAAACAGCCTTGGGAAAGAAAGCAAGTCAGAGGAAGAAAGATGTTGATACGTACCTGAAATACCACAAGAGATTGGGATATTATAATGTAACCTTTTAGTTGTATCCAATGGCTGAGATATTATAATGTAACCTTTTAAATGTATCCAATAGATTTGTGAGTAGTTGTCGCGGTAGAGACGGTCATGCGACAATTGACAGTTAAGTTAAGAGTAAAAGAAGAAGTCTGTTTATTGTTTTTCTACATACCTTATATATCTTTTACAACTACTGCAAGCTCTAACATAATTGGTTAAACCCATAGCAACGGTACACCCATAGCAACGGTACATGATTGGATAGCTTTCTTAAAGTTTTACTTCTGAACATGATTAACACAGTTCCTTATCTGCGTTCAACAGTTTCATGTTTCTTCCAGCAGATGTTCGCTGTCCTTGCTCCTTATCTGTGGTATGTCCTCCTGCATGCAGACTTCTCATGGGTACGGGATGATCTGGCTGAGGTTAAATACCATCTGCTCTGCCAGGCATTTAGCAGACCCGTTGCCTACCCCGACAAGTAAGTGTATTGTAGAGTACCTATATAAGGTTGTGCAGTGTAAGTCCTGCCGAGACCGGAGAGCACTTTGCCGTTGCCCCTCCCCCACCCGCGCCAGTCGGGCTGGAAGTTAAACACAGACCCGGGCTAAAATAACAAGAAATTTAATACAACAGAGTGATAGAACAATCTGAACAACAACAATATCAATGGTAACAACAATAAACAGCAATAACAGTGAACAAGACAAACGATATACAGAGAAATACCGCTAGCTGGTTTACGGAAAGAAAGGTGCCCGCCAAAGAGCACGGTGAAAAAGGTTCCGCCGCTGGACCTGATGCCAGCATGGTATGAATAACCTGGCTGGAGATCCCTTCCCCCTCTCTCTCTGCTGGGGAAAACTTGACTCTATCCTAGCTGAACCAGGTCAAAGGTGTGATTTCTTTCAATAAAATTGAAGCTTGCTCTATCATTCACATCGAATCGGCTGCTTTCTTCCTCCATCCTCTGCAGATAAACTAAAAGAACAAGGAACAGAGTTAAGAAAAAACAGTAAGAAGTGCTTCCGGAATTTTCACATATACTTAATCCCATATTTGCTATTATTGGCCTATTGCTTTATAAATTATTAACAACTGACTAGAGATAAAGTCAAGGATTTCCTGTTATTAACAAAGGCAAACAAATCAAAACCAAACGATGAGATTATTTTCATTCTTGGAAATAATTAATACTCATAAATTAATATCTGAAAGATAAATAAGTTGTGCTGTATGTATAGCAATTCAGTCATATTCAAAGTACTCGTGATAGAATGAATAGAAACAGCTCTGTAATAGTTCAATGGGAAGATAATTGAGGCAAGGAAGGGCTAATGAATTTGGGACTTTCAGTGTTTTGTTTGTAAAAGGTATGTAACATGAAATAAAGATACAGGAATGATATAAAGATATTTACTGTTACAAATTACCAAAACTGAAGTTATATATATATATATATATATATATCTCCTGTATCCTATATGTGTTTGTAAAGTAATGAATGAGACTTTCCATTGGCTTGACTGCATAGTGAAATAAAGTAGCAATGGAGGGAGGAGATGACATTTAGCAGGTACCAAGGCACTTCAGAGCACATAGACAGAGAAAAAGCATAGACCATGAGTGACGTGGCAGGAAAACGAAAACTCGTGTTGCCTACACTTGTTACTATGAACTCATACACATTTACTTCAATAACCTTCACTGGATTTAAATACTCCAGCCCTCAGTTGTGGCTTCACAAAGTGTTGATTCACATTTACTGGTGGCTCAAATTGAGGTGGCTAAACTGGTCGCCATTGCAGTTGTCTGCCTGACTTTTCTCCCAACAGTTGTTACCCTCTCCCTGTTCCCAACAGAAACAGCTAATAATATGTAGAGCAGCTTCTGATCTCCAAGAGTAACAGTCTATTATTTTAAAATAAACTGAAGTAACTGCAGAAATTTCATGACACAGAGAGAAACTGATCTTTCTTTTTTTTAATGGCATTTCAGCAGAGACATAAAATAACTTCAGCGATGTAGAACTGCTGCTTGGAACATGTGTTCTTCTCTACATGAAAGAAATACGTGCAGGAACAACATTTTTGAAAGTTAA